GTCTCTCATACGCTCCCCTAACACCCTCCCCATAAACTCATCATGACACCGGCTGTGCATATCAAGGCTTGTCTTTCACATGTCTACCTCTGCCACCAGACAAGAATGTGACCTCCTCCTGAGGACAGGGGCTGTTTCTGATTACTCTTTCCATCATAAACACAAGGCCTGGTACATAAAAGGTACATAGTGAGTGTGTACATATAAGCACTCCATCCTACCAGGAAGAGGAGAAATGGAGATTTCTGGAGCAGAGGCTGTTTTTCTTTCAGCCATAGAAAAAGTTGCAATATACAAATTGGATGTGTTTCAAAATACAAGTGTAAGTTGTTTTAGGACTGGGAATGCATTTCTCTATCTATGTAGATAGATAGATAGATAGATAGATAGATAGATAGATAGATAGATAGATAGATAGATACAGGGATAGATAGATATAGATATATGTATAGGGCCTAACCTTGGAAACTTGTTTAATGGGACTACATTGTAATTTTAACTCAAGTACAAGAGAGCTCACTGGTCCTGTTACATAGACCAATAATTTCTACAAAAGACTGGGGTCAAAGTTCCCATTCTGGGAACACATCTCATTCCTGCCCCCTTCCACTGTAAGACAATAAAATCCTGGACCCTCCCTGCCCGTGCACCTGCCCTAGATGGTGAGCAAAGATCCCAGTTTCCCATTTCCTGCAGGCTGTCTCCCTCCGCGACACTTTCTAGTCTGGTCATTTCAGAGTCTGGTCATTTCAGGCCTGTATTCTATTTCTCTTCAGGGACAGCCTGTCAATCCTAGGAAACTCTGCCTCACTGCTAGTAGGGGCTGAGGGGAAAGGCCGTCCCCTCCCCCTAGCAGGTTTGCTGTGCAGAGTCCTCTTAGAACTCCCCAGCCCCATGACTCAATCCAGAGTGAGGATGATGGGAGGGTGGGGCTTGCAGTCCAGATCTGGTGGGCTAAAGTGGACCATATTTTGAGTCAGGCACCCGGTCGCTGAAATTACAATGGTGAACTCTCGTTTCTTCCGTAATGACACAGAGGGGTCCTGCCACAGGAAAACGAGCAGAGGTTATTTCTAACCAAGAAATCGGGTCCTTTAAGGTCCTGGCTAGATGAGCTAACAGTCCTATGTGCAGGACATTCAAACATCATGAACGCAGGCTGGTCATTAATTGGGTCCACAAATGCTGACCCTGCATCCACAGCAAATTACCACAACCAAGTAGCATAAATATATACCATGCTCTTTCCATTGCTGGCATTGCCACAGCTCCCCGATGCTCTCCCAGGCACTGTCAGGAAGCACCATCTGCACCGGAAGTGAGACAGAGCGAGGATTGGCCCTGAACTCCTGTGAGCCCTCATGCACGCTCACCCTCACGGGCCTCTCCACTCAGGTCTCATCTTCAGGTCAGCAAGCAGGAATCATCTAGTTTGCAAGAGGTTCTGTGGGAACGTTGCTGCCTGAGGGAGTGACAAGCTACAGAGGAGACAGGCACATGGAAGCGGGTGGATCTCCTGAGCCAGGCAGCCCTGCGTTCAAATCTCAGTCTAATCACTTCCTGCGATGCTCTGGCCACAACAACGTCCCTGAACCTCCACTTGTTCAACTGTGAAAAGGGAGGAGAAAAACCTAACTTGCTCATCAGTATAATCATCTTCATCTGAACCACATAACAGAGAATGCTTTGAGTGAATGCTTCCTCAATTCTCCCAAGGATGGTACATAACCACCCACCTCATTCTAGAAGCCTAGGAGAACAGCTAATTACATACAACGTATACCACAGGGCATGGGGTTTAATTCTGTTAAGAAAGGCTGATATGGAATGAGCTGAGCATCATGGGTAAACAACACCCTCCTGGTTCCCTGAGGGTTTCGGAAAGGGATCAGATAGACAGGCAGAAGCAGAGCTGGAATAAGGAAGGCACGGGTAGAGTCTGAGCCCAAGAGAAGGGGTGAGCCTGGCAGCGCCAACACAGAAACAGCCACTAACTTGATGTGCTCTCCCCACACTGCTGTTTCATCTGAGATGCAGAGATGAAGAAAGCCATGTAATCACTTTGTACTAATGAACATCTCTCTACAAATGGAAAACAATTCAATATTTGAGTTACTAATTTTCAAACTGCCATGTATTATATGATTTGTCTCTAGAAAGCAATGTACGTTTGGTGTTCTTTCCTGGTGTTTCAGAAATAACAAAAATATTTCTAAAACATCTGAATTTATGCTTCTGCGATCTTATGATCCCATTTATGCCATTACATGTCTCCAAAGCAAACATTTTGCAAATGTTTAGCTTTCAGACCAAAAAAAAAAAGGAAACCACTGACAATTCCCATTCTAAATGAATCCTTCCAATGCCTCTGAGTTGGGGAAAGAAGGTTCCTTGCTTTCAGCAGCAGGCAGAGAGGTCAACCCTGGGCCAGGGGCTAGAAGACCTGCCACCTAAGGACAACTCCACTGCCCGGCTGCTTTCCCCTTTATGTCATTTGTACTTCTCTGGGCCAGTTTCCTCATCTGTGGAATGGAAGGTCCCTTCCAGCTATTAAAGTATAAAACTTTACCAACACTCTGCTTCAGTATCTGAAAAATTACAAGTACTTGTCTCCAACTTTCAGGAAGGTGAAGACTAACAAGGAAATATTTATAGGAAGCTTTAAGATCATATAATGAAACAGAAATAAACAAGGCTCATAAAATCACAGGGCTATCAGGGACCCTAAAGCTCTGGCCACCTAAAATGAAACTGAACTCTTAAGGCACGGGAGGAGATGGTTGGCAACGGTCTGTTTTATGAGGCTTTCTTATGGGCTTCCTGTAGGCACCAGGGCCAGTGCGTTCTGCTCAGGAAGGCAGGCTATAAGTGAGCAGGAGCTGACAGTCTGCCTGGGCAGTGTCCCCAGGCTTTCATTAGGTGGACAGTCGGCATTAGGTTTTCCCCATACACTGTTCTACAGGTGTAGATACTCTGTCTTCAACTGGTGCAAAGTGTAGACCAAAAAAAACGTGCAAATAATGACCTCATTTCCAAAGCTGGATCCCAGCCCACATCTGAATGAAAAGAGTTTCCTTGCCTGGCACTATACAGACCTGAGAGCCTGGGTCTATTACTTAACCACTCTGAGCCTCTCTTTTCTCATCTTTAAAATGCGGACAGTAATAATATTCTATTGGGTTGTCGGAAAAGTCATGACGTATTTTTTTTCTATGTTTCTTGTTGCAAAAATGCGTCATGACTTTTCTGACAACCCAATACATTACAGGGATGTGAGGAGAATTGATGAGTTATTATTTCATGTAAAGCCCTCAGTGAAGTGTGCTGGACACATACTTCGTGCTGGATAAATGCTACCTATTTTTCATATTGGTATCAGTATTAACATTATCAAGAACTAAGTGTAGGATACTACTTCAGTAAGAAAAGAAACAGGAGCAGATGGGAAGGTCCTGAAATGCAGAGCTCTCCTGGGGAAACACAGCTGCTGGCTGCCACCACCAACCCCGCCTCCTGACACTCTCAGACATTATGACTGCAAGGTCAGGGAGGACTGACTGAAAAAGAGGAAAAGGAGCTTGGGAAGGCAAAGAAAGTAGGTAAAGTCCACAGCCAAAGGAGCGGAAACAAGGTGTGTTGTGGGGCTGGCTTCAGGCTGTGGCTGAAAAAACACCTATCAGGGAGAAGTAGGTAAAAGGTGAGAAAGCGCCCTGGGGAGAAACTGGGGAAAGAATATAGACACCGCACGTGCAGGAACACAAATAAAAAAGAGAGAGTTAAACCAGATGGAAGGAAGATGGCACATTTGAGTGCCAAAGGAAGTAAGTGAAAATTAGAATACTGGATAATAAGAAATGGCCACGTGAAACTCTAAAGGATGGGGGGAGGGGTGCCGAGAACAAGGTTGGGCAGCCCTTGGAGGGGCGCATAATTGAACGGGCACCCGGAGAACAATGCAATGAGGAAGTGTGGAAGATGGGGGAGGGCGGACATCAAGAGAAAAGATGCAAGTTAGTAAAGATGGAAATATAAAGTGGAGTGAAGTGTCTGTGCCTGGTAGCAAAGGAGAGCCAAGAACTGGGAGACCTGAAGGGGTTAATAGGGAAGAAAACACCAGGCAACTCAGAAAATGTGGTGAGGTGCGGAGAAAACCTTGGGAGGAGGAGGAGGGTGATATGTGAATTTCAATAGCCTTGGTAACAAGTGCTAAATAAACTCAAATTATTCTTCTATTTATCACCGTTATTATCTAAGGCTGGGAAGCAACTAACCAAGAGTGGTGTTTTTTTCCCCCTTTGGTTTGGTTTTTCGTACTTGGAGGGAGGGGAAATTTGCTCAGGCCCGTAACTCTGCAGTCAGATGGGTGGCCCGCCAGCACGGGTCACCTGAGTTCCCTCTGACGTGGGCAGCAGCTCTGACTTCTATCTTCCTGGGGCTAATGCGCCCCCACCCCCCAAGTTTTGAACAGAAGTGGCACTAAACCAACCCAGAGACGACTGACGCCAGGTTCCACTGTCTTTCTCGTGAAATGACACCCAGGTGGGACCTGCGGAGAAACTTGGGGTCGGAGCTAAGTTCTCCAACTGCAGCCCTTCTCTGTCCCCTGGGCCGGTGCAGGCTGCGCAGGTCGCGCCGCGGGAGCGAGCTGAGAGGTGCAGGGAATACCGGCCGCACCGGGCTCCGCTCCCGGCGCCACCCCGCAGGCCGGGCCCAGCCAGTGGCGCGCGGGGTGAAGTTTCAGGGTCCTCCCTAGACGGTCGTGCTGGGGACCGCCGCCTGCACGCCCTGCCCGGGGCCACGCAGCCCGGCCAGCAGAGGACGCCGAGCAACCAACGCAAGGCACCAACAGGTGGGCAGCCGGGCGCCTGCCGGAATCCGACAGGAGGCAGCGGCAGGGCGCCCTCAAGCTACGAACGCCGCCGTGTGGGGCTGATCCCACTCCCGGGTTCCCAGCTCACAGCCCAAGGCACTGGCCCCGCACGCCCCCCGCGCAGCCTCACCTCACGCGGCCCCCGCTCAGCGGAGCCTCCAAAGTCAGGGGAGTCAAGAGGTCCCAGCGACGCAGGGCCGGTCCCGGTCCCTCGAAGACTAGAGCACGCCGGGCTCTCGGAGGAGCTTCTGATCCGGCGCGCAGCCTCTGGGCTGGCGGCCGGCGCCGGAGAAAACGCGGTGCTGAACGCCCGCCCGCGCCGCGGCCGCCGGGCTCCCGGGACCACGCCCCGACCCGGCCCCCGACCGCGCCCCCAACCGGCTCGCCCTTTCCCCAGGCCACGCCCCCAAACCCAGCCCCCTCTTACCCCCGGCCAGTAGGCCCCAAGCCGGGCTCCCCCAAGCCGGGCTCCCCCAGGCCCCGTCCTCCGCCCGGCTCCCGCCCATTGTCCCCACTCCACCACCAGTCCCCGCCCTGGCTGCCCCCACCATTCTCCCAACCATTCCCACCTCGACCCTATTCTCCATCAGTGTATCACCCAGCCCCCCGCAACCCCCTGGCCCTGCTACATTTCCCCCTACTCCAGCTCCGCTCGCCCTCAGCTACACACACACACACATGCCGGCTCCTTCCAGCCACCCCCAGAGACTCCCGCCTATCCCCAGCCTGGCCCCCCTAAATCCGACCGCCACCCCATCAACCCCCGCCCCCCAGCCTAGCCGAGAGCTGGAGGAGCCACCGCGTTACCCGGGCAACCGCCCCCCACTGCCCACTGGCTCCACCTCAGCCTCAGGGAGTTCACTCTAGGCGAAGACACGGTGGCTGCAATTTTCTGAGTGAAGGAAACGTTGAGTGAGAATTTTGAAACCTACCGGTTTCCCCAGGGCCTAGGGCAAGTCTTCTGCGGACTGTACAGGTGAATCCACTTAAAGAACTATCACCTTTCCTGTGTGGCTCAAAGCCTAATCATTAATTCACAAGAAAACCACAAAGGCGCAGCGAACCCTTCAGCGCTAGGATCTGGGCCTCAAATGTTCCGTGATTGTTTACTGATATGCAACTGATGGAATTCATAAAATAAACAGTTTTTTTTTTAAGTGTCGTTTTTTTTTTAGATGATTCATGTGCGGTTATGTCAGCATTATTATTATAAACATACATTACTTTTATAATCAAAGAGCATTAACCACTATTTTTAAACTAAAGAACTTATAAAGTTAATTACCCAATGAAAAGTCAAAATTCATTTTATATATGCTTTTTTAAATAGGGAAAAACTATACTGTATGATACTCAAATAGTGGAAACATTGATAAAAACCCACAGAATATACAACACAAAGAGTGAACCCTAGTATTCATTGATAATAATGTATCAATATTGGCTCATTAATTGTAACAAACGTATCTCACTGGTGTAAGATGCCAATAATAGGAGAAACAGTGGGGTGGGGTTGAGAGACTATATGGGAACTGTGTACCTTCCAATCAATTTTTCCGTAAACCTAAAACTACTCTAAAAATGTCTGTAAATTAAAGCACACACCAAAATATTAATGGTAATTATCTCTGGGTGGTGGAAATGTGGGCAATTTTTTATTTTATTGTTTGACTCTATATTGAAATTCCCCAAATTTTTGACAATGAGCATGTATTTTTAAAGCAGAAAAAAATATTATAAAAATAAACTGGAATATTTTAGAGATATAGCATGAGAGGCTAATATCAAACATTCCATTTTATTTCTATTTGACATAACTTTAACAAAATTTTCATAAAGCTCTCATAAATTTAAAAAATGAACTGTTTTAGTATTGTTAAAAAAGAATATCAAAGGCTAAATTAAGAGGTTTTTATTATCTCTTTAGAATTAGCATAAATCTGAAAAATATTGATTTTTCCTTTTAAAGAATGTCTCAAAGGATCATTTCTGCCTGCTTAGAAACCATTATTACTATTTACATGCAACACTTTTTCTAGTGAAGAAAACACTATAAAAAAAGTTCTTGGGGAAAATAGGCCTGGCTGGTAAATAAATGAATTTCCATAGAGTTGTAAAACATAGCCTAGAGGCAGCTGCTTCCCTGTGACCCTTGGGCAAACTCTTTATGTTTCTGAGTTTCAGCTGCCTCTTCAGTGAAAAGGGAAGCAATGGTACCTCTTTCTCTGGATTGGCTGGAAAATACAAAACTTTAGCTCATATAAGACTCCAGCACATACAAGTGCTGAATAATTATTAGTTCTTGTTCTCTTAAAAATACATTTTTCAGGGTTTTAGTAGAGATCCTGAGATCCTGAGATAAAAAAAGATATTTCTGGTTTTAGATGATTAATTTGTTACAGGAAAGCAAGATGGTTCAAGAGAAAAATCTGACACGGAGAGACTGGGTGCCCTAAGCCCAGCATCATCACTAGCTATGTAAGTCAAGTCAATAAATCACTAAACTTCTCTGGGTCTGACTTTTGTAATCTGTTAAATGAGGAATTTGGACCAGCGATCTCTAAACTTCCTCCAGCTTCTATCATTCCACAGGGAAGTTGTGACTTCTGAGTAAAGCAGCCTAAATCTCCTATGGTGGCCCCTCTCTGCCCACAGGACAGGCCATCACTCACCGCCCTGCAAACAAAGCTGACATCTGCATTCTGTCCTTCCCCACAAAAGGGGACCTCCAAAGGTTTCTTTGAACTTTTTCCTCTTGGTGATCTGCTGGTGCCCAACTCTGACTAGCAGCTTACACTCACAACAGTACCAACTTAAAGCTTTCACCAAAGATGCATTGTAACCACTGGTGCTATCTGTAGGATGGAAGCTACCGTCTCTCACCAAGTCTATGGTGTACCCTTTTCCCACCATAATAACATCTCCAAAATGATGTGTCTTTCTGATATGCTATGTCCTTTATATTTATTATCTCCTTAAAGCCTCAAAGTAGCCCTGAGGCACTACTGTCATACTCCTTTATAGATGGGAAAAGCAAAGCTCAAAGAAGTTGAATGTACTGCCTAAGATAACACAGCAAGTGAATGATGTAGCCAGGATTTGAGTTCATGCTTCTGCTTTTAAACACTATGAAGAAGCAATACTCTGATTTCCTGTAAGGTTCTGAAGAAGCTTGTTGTATTCAATCTGCTGCAAGTCCCACTCCTCGGGGGTTTCTCAGGAGGAGGGACAAGGGAGGAAAGTATTGTAGATGAATGTGTCCCACCTCCCAAATTCATGTGTTGAAGCCCAAACCCCCAATGAGGTGGTAGTAAGAGGGAGGGCTTTTGGAAGGTCAGTAGGTTTACATAAAGTCATAAGGGTGAGCCCCATAATGGGGTTAGAGACCTTGTAAGACTAGGAAGAGAGACCAAATTGCACTCCCCCCGACTCTCTCTTTGCCATGTGAAGACACAGCAAGAAGGTGGCGGTTGGCAAGCCAGGAAGAAGGCTCTTACTAGGAACCGAATCAGTCAACAGCTCGATCTTGGACTTCCCAGCCTCCAGAACTGTGAGAAATACATTCCTGTTGTTGAAGCCACCCAGTGTCTGGTATTTTGTCATGGCAACCGGAACTGATACAGAAAGGAAACTCCTTTCTCCTCATTAAAAAATTTTTTTTCTTTGAGGAGCTTCTGCATAGTAACCCTTCTGGCCTTGGCCTCCAGCCTCAACTGATGAAGAAGAAATTACCTGACCAGTGGAAGATATCCATTGTTTCACCTAACTAGATAGAATGGACCCCTTTATTAGTAATTTACTGACATATGAAAAAATGCTTAACATCATTAATCATCAGAGAAATGCAAATAAAACCCAAAATGAGATATCACCTCACACCATTTAGAATGGCTATCATCAACAAGACAAATAATACTAAGTGTTGGAGAAAAAGGAACCCTCATACACTGTTGGTGGGAATGCAGATTGGTGCAGCCTCTATGGAAGGCAGTGTGGAGGTTCCTCAAAAAATTAAGAATACAGTTACCATATGTCCTAGCAATCCCTCTCATGAGTATCTATCCAAAAATCTGAAAACATTTATCTGTAAAGATATATGTACATGTGCTCTGATGTTCATCGCAGCTTTATTTACAGTGGCCAAGGCATGGAAACAAAGTGTCCTTCGATAGATGATTGGATAAAGAAGATGTGATATATATATATATATATATATATATATATATATATATACACACACACACACACACACACACACACACACACACACACACACAGTGGAATACTATTCTGCCATAAGAAAAGATGAAAAAGTGCCATTTGCGACAATAGGGATGGATCTTGAGATTATTATGCTAAGCGAAATAAGTCAGACAGAAAAAGTCGAGAACCATATGATTTCACTGAAAACAACAAAGGAACAAGACAAACAAATGAAGAAACAAAAACTCATAGACACAGACAATAGTTTAGTGGTTACCAGAGGGTAAGGGGGGAGGAGAGGTAGATGAGGGTAAACGGGGTCAAATATATGGTGATGGAAGGAGAACTGACTCTGGGTGGTGAACACACAATGTGATATATAGATGATGTATAACAGACTTGTACCCTTGAAACCTATGTAACTTTACTAATAATCGTCACCCCAATAAACTTTAATTAAAAAAAAAAGTAGTTTACTAAAAACACAGAGGATTCCCCCCTTTGTAACCTCTCCACCCAGACTACTGCAGGCAGCATGTGGGCTCAGTGTCTCTGCCTCAAAGCAGACATTCACCTGGATGGGTGATTAAAGGTCTACCACCTGGCTGGGGGTGCAGGAGGGACACTCAGGGAGTATTATTATTATTTTTTTAATAATTATTCTTTTTTTTTAAGATTTTTTTTTTATTGGGGATTTGGGGGATGGGAACAGTGCTGAGGAATTGGGGGAAGGGGAACAGACAAGTTGGTGTTGTTTTGTTCTTCAGTCTAGTTGTGGAGGACATTGCTTCACTGGCCCAAGTTGGCACCATCATTGCGCTCTTCCCGGGCGAGGCAGATCAGTCGNGAGGACATTGCTTCACTGGCCCAAGTTGGCACCATCATTGCGCTCTTCCCGGGCGAGGCAGATCAGTCGCCGGCTTCTGGACAGCTGCTCACTGCGGCTGTTGGCCGCTCATGCTGGCTGCTGGCTACACACGGTAGCCCATGGCAACCCTGCTGCAGCAGGGGCTACAGCCTATGCCATCGCCAGCGACTCACGGCAGCCCAGCTACGGGTTGAGCTGTTGTTTAGCATCTTAGCTGTGGAGGGCAGTGTCACTGGCCCTTATATGTGGGATCCGAACTGTGGC